CCCCCCCCTAAAAACAGTTAAAAAAAGAAAAAATATATCCTCATGCAAGAACTTTTCTGCTTCCAATTACCCCCATGCTTAAAAGTTGCAAAGGAAACACGGAAGTAGGGAAGCGGCTGCCCAGCTCCGGAGCTCCACACCATTTTTTTCAGAGGGGAATCTGACTCGAGTATAAGCCGAGGGTTTTTTTTTCAGCACAAAAAATGGGCTGAAAAACTCGGCTTATACTCGAGTATATATGGTATTCCAATTAACATGTACTGTAAAGCATTAATAATTTTAGAATATTTAAATAATGATGTAGGACACAAAAATTGCTACTTTAGTACATCTAATTCATGAAAAATTAGACTAAAATTAGGTCTGATTATAGTAGATTTTAATGACACTTCTAGAAAATGTCCTCACGACAATGGACAAATTACCTTTATCTTTAAGATGGATTTTCAGATTTGCTTTAACTAAATTTTATTTATTGAATTAATTATATCATAATACGAGATCAAGATTCCCACCCTCCATTCCCAGTTCTTGATGGTGTACATATAATTACTGTCTTTTTAGATGATCTTAAGCCAATTAAATGTCCAGGTGACTGGGTTGGATATGCAAAGCATTGCTACCGTCTGAACAGAGATCGCAAAACATGGAAGGATGCCTCAGTCTCCTGCCAAAAGGATGGTGGACATTTACTAAGTATACATGACATTGAGGAATACAGCTTTGTTTTTTCTCAGCTTGGCTATAGTAAGTATATTTAGAAGGCTTATTTCCTGTTTCATATACTCTGTGGGTACATGGATTCCAGGAAAAGAAAGGAATAGCTGCTGACGTTGGTATCACAAGGGGAAAAAAGTGTTTATTTAGGCCTTAAAATATTTGTAAAAAATCTACTCAGCTTGTGTGGTTTAAATGATGCAACAACTGCTGCATACATCCGTGGCAGTTTAGCACAGACATTTTCCAGGCAGTTATGTCACATATAGATTCTCTTATATCCTGATCAACATAATACAGAGTTATATCAATGGAGGATTATATACAACCTCTGGACTTCATTCATTACATTTGAGAGCAAATGAATAAAATAAATTTATCTTTTAGAATCAACAGATAATTTGTGGATAGGCCTAAATGACCAGAAGACTTCTTCATATTTTGAATGGAGTGATGGTACTACAGTGAGATTCATCAGATGGCAGAAAGGAGAACCCACACTTATAAGTAACGTGCAGGAAGACTGTGTTATCATGAGTGGGAAGGTAACAATAAAGACCCTTAATTGCCTGGGGGAGATATTTTTTCTCTTCAGTTTTCTCTTGGATAAAATTTGTGTCTAGAAATTTATTTGATACAATCTCTTATTCCATAACATAATTTATTCTATAAATCAATGGTTCTTAAACGTTTTCCTTTCCAGAATCTTTTCCATATTTAAAAGTTATGGAGAACTCCTAAAGAACTTTTGTTTTATGAGTTATTGATATTTATCTTACTAAAAATTAAAATTGATGTATATGCTGCAGCTAGCCTTCTCAGAATTGTTGGATAGGATTTTAGTATTGTATTATTTTTCAATATGGGTTGGCAAATAATTCTAATTTAATGGATCCAGGAGTTCTATGATTGAAGAAATCCTGCTTTCTTTAAAAAAATGTTTTCCAAAGTTAAAATACAAACAAAGAAGTAGAAGAAGAAACTTCCAAGCATCTGACATGAATGATAAAAATTAAAAATAACACATTTGTATAAAAAAAAATAACAAATACATCATTCCCACTGACATCAAACATAGAAAGTCCATCCTGGCTGAATGTTGACAAATATATCAAAAGTACCTGATGGGTTTGCCTACCCTTACATAACAGATCTACAAATAATTATAAACTTTCCCATCTATATTTGATAAAAATACTATGTTACATTTTTTAAAGTCTCTGATGTGGGAATCTATATAGCAATCCAATTGACCCAACCTCTGTTCACAATATAAATAAAAACAGTCAACAGGTAACCCCAAAGGTAGAACTAATCTTCAAAATCTTCTGTTAACCATTTGTTATTGTATTTGACACAGAGAAAATTCACAAATGGCTTCCATCTCTTATAAACTTTCTAATCTATTGACTCTAATCAATACAGTTAATTTTGCCATTTCTGCCATTACAATCAATTTTAAAGTCTACTCTTTAATAGTTGGCATCCCTTTTCCTTCAAATGCTTAGCATAAACAATAGTAGCAGAGATCACTATGTAGAAAAATAATGTCCCAAAGCGATTTTCTATCCATTTATCCATAATATCTGGAAGAAAGGCTTCAGATTTCATTAATATTTGTATTTTAAATATTTTCTGCATTGTCATATTTATCCGATATGATTTAGCTACTTACAAGGCCGTCACATATGATAAGAAATTTTCTATAATACACCTATTTTCAAGTCTTTAAAAGGGGATTAGAGACTTTTTAAATTTAGTTTAGTGAGTTAAAATAAAGTTTGGTGGTTCCACTTAAATTTATCTGACAGTTCTGAATTAATTCCTATTTTAAATAATTGTTGATGTGTATATTCTGGAGCTCATCCCAGAATATTGTTTTAAATATATTGTTGTGTTGATTTTTTAGTATTAATATTCGCTTATTTTGTTTCTGTGAGTATTGAACTGATTCTATTGATGATAATTATTGCATTTTTGTTTAATAATGTGCTTTGGTAAAAATATTATTTATCAGAGTTAGGAATGAATACTTAAGGGTATTTAAGTCTAAAAAGAAAGGATGGGCTTTTGTGTTTAAGGATATCACATAATGGCTTGAGGAGATACTAGTAAATATAATGGTTTGGTGGGATAGTAATAAATAGATTAATTACGTAAAGTAAGCAGGATTAATCATACTCATGAACTGTGTTTGGAATAAAAATCTTGACTTAAAAAAGAAACATAAATCCTACTTTTTAGTTTATTCTACAGTTTTGTAATTTGAGAAGGCTCTGGAAATTGCTAAACAAACATTCAGAAGCCTCATTGACCCTGAGATCCTTTAACTGTCCATTCATATTTTGTAGTATTGCTACTATGTAACTAATACTTTGCTTTAAAGCAGGGGTGGGATTCAAATTTCTTAACAACCGGTTCTGTGGGCGTGGCCTAATTTGTGGGTGTGCCTTGGTGGTCATGTGACTGGGGTGGGAGTGGCTTGCTGACTGGGAGTGGCGAGGTGGTCATGTGACTGCGGTGGGCATGGCTAGGTGGTCAGGTGACTGGGGTGGGCGTGGGCATGTGACTGGAAAACCAAATGCAAGTGGTCCTTGCTTAATGACCAGGTCCTCGTTTAATGGCCAGTTACTTAGCTAGTGTTTTTTGCCAATTTCCAAAGCCTGGGGAGCCCTGGAGAGGGGAGGGTGAGGCCCAAACAGGTGGCCAGGTGACTGGCAAACCAAATGCAAGTGGTCCTCGCTTAATGAACTGGTCCTCGCTTAATGGCCAGTTGCTTAGCAAGTGTTTTTTGCCAGTTTCCAAGGCCTGGGGAGCCCTGGAGAGGTGGCCATGTGACTGGCAAACCAAATGCAAATGGTCCTCGCTTAATGACCAGGTCCTCACTTAATGGCCAGCTGCTTAGCAAGTGTTTTTTGCCAGTTTCCAAGGCCTGGAGAGCCTTGGAGAGAGCAGGGCGAGGCCCAGGCAGCTACAAGGCGGTACGGGGAGGGCTACAGAGGGCTGGGCATGGCCAATTCGACATCACTCATGTCAAGGGGCACTTCTCCTCGCCTGACCTCTCATGACAGTGGGGATGCTGCAACGGTCATAAGTGTGAAAAATGGTCATAAGTCACTTTTTTCAATGCCACTGTAACTTTGAATGGTCACTAAATGAACTGTTGTAACTCAAGGATTACCTATACAAAAATACAAAAAGCTTCTTTGCTTGCAAAAAGCTGCCCTAAATACCAATCATTAGATTAAAAACACCTGCAAGCCGGAGTTACAAATCAGGCAGGGTGCCAGAGCATCTTGAGGAATGAAAATATTTAAAATGCAGTGATAACTATAAAGCAGCCAACTCTTCCTCATAAAGTGAAATCCTTTAGCAGAGAGGTCATTTAAGCTCTCCAGAAGAAGCAATCCTTAGATCCATTTGAACACTTAAAAATACCAGCTGGTCTCACTCACCTCACAAGATATCCTAAGGAAATCACCCAGATTTAAGGAAAGGTCACATGCCCCCCAGAAAGGCAGTAAAAAAAAAATCAGTGCCAAGCTTGCATTCTGCCTCTTAAAAGTATACCCCCAAAAGACAGTGCCAGATAATATTAAAGCAGTGAAGGAAGACCCCTCCCCAAATAGAAAAAAAAACCATGAGGCAAGAAAAAATTCAAACACAATACAAATAATTAAATTACAACAGTAACTGTTGCTTGTTGAAGCTGAATAGGGAAAATGATCCCATCAATAAACACAGGATTAAACGGCACCAAGCACAGAATTAACCTTAACCAAAAATCAGTTTTAGACCAAAATTCAGAAAGAGTATGTAAACTCAGATTTGAATGTTAATCTTTCTAGCTAGCCAAGAAGCCTTGCAGAATGTCACTCATCTTGGTTCCCTATCACTAAAAGCTTTGCTTCATTATTCAATTATTTCTTCAAAGTGCTGATTGTCCAGGGAAGTATTTCCTCCCAGCAGCATTTAAAAATCTTAAAGCAACCCTTCCCCTTTAAGAAAGCCTCAGAAGCTCCAGAGACAGGAAGTCTAGGCTCTCTGCCAAGACTGTAATAAGGATGGAAAAATACAAACAGAGATTGCTTCTAACTACCGGTTCTCCGAAATACTTAGAAAGTTAACAAGGGGTTCTAACCGGTAGAATCCCACCCCTGCTTTAAAGTATATTACATTCTAATAAATAAGTAAACGAAGAAACAAATTCTGAGTTCAACTGACTATTTTTTTCAGAAGATTGGGAATAAACTTTTATTTTTTTATTTTCAAAATACATATTCATTTACATTTTAACAGTACTGTGCCAAGCATTATTTATATTTACAATTCAATTCTCTAATCATATATACAACATTTCCCATACCTCATAAAACTCAGACTCCTCTTTACCTTTCAACTTCCTCGTAAGCCTATCCATCTCAGCACAATCAAGTATTTTGTTTATTACCATATTCTCAGAAGGTACCCCATCTACTTTCCAGCTCTGGGCATAAGCAATTCTTGTCGCTGTTATTATGTGTTATGCGACATATTGGATATGTTTCTTTAAATTTTCTTTCATTATCCCCCCCAAAAATCTTTCTGGTTTAAATCCAATATCATACCCTGTAATTTCTTGTAATTTCCTCAATTTTTCCCAGTATTTTTTTTTAGCTTTGGGGCATTGTCATTGCCACCATACTATGTTCCATCCGTAAGCTTACATTTCCAGCATTGCGGTTTCATATTCGAATATATTCTGGCCAATCTTGCCAGTGTCAAATGCCATCTGTAAAACATCTTGATTAAATTTTTTTATATGCTATTGATAAGGTTAATTTGCAGTTCTTGATCCAAATTCTCTCCCAATCCTCTAACTGTATACTGTGTCCTACATTTTGTGACCAAGCGATCATTGGGCCTTTAACTACTTCTTCCATTTCTACTTTAAGTAAATAATTATATGTTCTAGTGATAAATTTTTCTTCTTTACCAATCAAAATTTGGTCTTGAAGTTGGGGTTCCCTTTCTATTCCAAATTCCTCCATATTTTTTTTATGCCCCGTTTTTATCTGCAAATATGGGCACCAATCCATAACTATACTTTGTTTTTTTAGTTCTTCAGTTGTTTTTAAATTCCCCTGATTATCTAATAATTCCTTATATCTAATCTTCTTTTTCTTCTCCATTGTTTTTGGGTAGATCATTGTTTCCATTGGTGACACCCAATCTGGTAATTTAATATAGTGCTTCTTCCTTATCTTTTCCCATATTGTTATTAATGAGTCCCTAAATATGAATGTATATGAAATATGAATGTATCTTTTCTCATTTATTCCACAGGAAGGCATGCCATCCTGTGTGAAGATCATTCCCTTCAATTATTAATATTCTCTTATTATCAAAGTTTATCCAATCTTTAATCCAGAGTAATCCCGCTGCCTGATAATATAGTTCCCATTTTGGAAGTCCTAGGCCACCTCCACTTCTGCTATCTTATAGCATTTTTATGTTAATTCGTGCTTTCTTTCCCAACCAAATAAATTTAAGCACCATTCTATTCAATTCTTCAAAGACATTAATTCATGCTTTCTTTCCCAACCAAATAAATTTAAGCACCATTCTATTCAATTGTTCAAAGAATTTTCAATCTAATTTTATGGGGATTGTCTGAAATAAGTATAATAATTTTGGTAGTATGTTCATTTTTATGTGGCAATTCTACCCATCAACAATAATTTCAGCTTTTTCCAGTTCTCTAAATCTTTTTTGCATTGTTACATCAATTTCTTATAATTATCTTCCTTTATGGTCGAACATTAACCTGTAAGCCAAATCCCCAAATATTTAATGTTTTCCCCACTTTTAGTCTCAATTCTCTTTCTAATCCCTTCTTTTGTTTTTCTGTTGAGTTCTTTACTAACATTTTTGTTTTTATCATTTATCAGGTAGAATTGCCATGATAAAAATGAACATACCAAAATTGTTATACTTACTTCAGACAATCCCCATAAAATTAGATTGAAAATTCTTTGAACAATTGAATAGAATGGTGCTTAAATTTATTTGGTTGGGAAAGAAAGCATGAATTAATGTAAAAATGCTACAAGATTATTAATTTTTAGTCCTGCCACTAGTCCATATTTTGAAATTTCCCTTAACAAATTTATCCCTGTTTCCATCAGTTCCTCAATGGTGAACACTAAATCGTCCGTGGATGCTTGGGTTTTATATTCCTGATTTTTGATCTTTAATCCTGTTATTTCCTCATTTTGCCTTATTTTGGTTAGAATACTTCTATCATTAATATGATAAGCAGAGGTGACATAGGACAACCTTGTCATACTCTTTTTAAAATTTTAAATGTTTCAGTGCAATCTCCATTTACCATCACTCTAGCTTTTTGCCTGGCATATATTGTCCTAATCAGTTTTTCATATTTTATTCCAAATTTAATACTTTTAATTTGTTGGATCAAGAACTGCCAATTAAGGTTATCAAATGCTATCTGAGCATCCAGAAAGATTAGTGCTGCCTGTTTCCCAGGATGTGCTTCATAATATTCTAAAATGTCTTACATTATTTCTAATTTGTCTTGCTGGCAAAAAACCATTCTGGTCTGGACATATTATTTCATTTAGCGCTATCTTCAGCCTTTCTGCCATTACTGTGGTAAAGATTTTATAGTTGGCATTTAACAGCGAGATTGGTCTGTAATTTTTGATGTATTTGTTTGTACTCTCTTTTGGGATAAGGGAAATGTAAGCTTCAATCCATGAATCTCGTATTTTTGATAGCTCTAATACATCATTGTACACTTCCAACAATATATCTCCAAAGCATTCATACAAACATTTATATACCTCTGCCAGAATTCCATCTGGCCCTGCGGTTTTATTACTCTTCTATTTTTTTACCACTCCTTCTAATTCTATGGCTCTTATCTTTCTATTTAGTATTTCTCTTTGGTCTTCTCTTAATTCTGCCAGACTAGTTTTTTACAGATATTGTTCTATATTATTTATGTCTATGTTATCTTCGTCATATAGTCTTTCAAAGTAATTTTGAATTAGTCTCTTTTTCCTGTCATTTTATACTGTATCTCTCCATTTTCATCCTCCAGTTCCTGAGTCAGCTTCTTTTCCTTTCTTTCTTTTTAATCTATGGGCTAATCACCCTCCTGATTTATTAGCATGTTCAAAGAAATTTTGTTTTGCTGCTTTTAAGTCTCTCACCCTCTCCTCTTGGTTCACCATATTTAATTTATGTTTAGCTAAAACCATATCATTTTTCACTTCTTCAGTTTGAGGTTCTCTTTGTCACTTATATTCTAATTCTCTAATCTCTGTTGTTAATTTTTCCTGCCGTTGCCTCGTTTCTTTATTTCTTTTTGCCGTATACGCTATGGTAATACCCCTAGGGGCCGCTTTTGCTGTATCCCATACTGTCTGAAGTGAAGTGTGTTGATTTAAATTTTCCTCAAAGAACGTTTCCATTTCCTTTTTTGTCCTCAAAATATATATTTTTTCATTTAAAATTTGGGAATTTAATGTCCATCATCTCATTTTTTTCGCATCATTTCCAAATTATTATTAATGGGTTGTGGTCAGCCCATGTATTTGCCATGATTTCTATCTTATCCACCTTGTTTCCTAATTCTCAATTCATCCAGGCCATATCCAGATGGGACCATGATTTGTGTGGGCTTGAGTAGAAAGTGTATTACCGTCTTTTAGGATTTATCTTCCTCCATTGATCCAAATTTAATTCCTGTGTTATTTCAAAAAATGTGGTTGGTAATGTTTTCTTTTTCTTTTTCTTGCCAATTTACCTATATAATCTTTCCTTAGGTCTACCACCGCGTAATAAACTTCTACAACACATATATTATCATATTCTATTTCTACAATTTTTTCATGTAGTGTCTTATAAAATTCTTTTTTATTCTCATTTGGGGCATAAATTACTACCAATACCATAATTTTTGTCCAATCTGTAATTCAATTATCAGGATCCTTCCATTCCCATCTGTGTATTTTAGCTTTGCTTCTAAACTTACATTTATGTAAACGGCTATCCCTCTTCGTTTATTTTTTGCTAGAGCAGTATATAGCTTTCCTAACCTGGAGTATTCTAGACAATCCCTGTGCTGATCTTTTATGTGTACCTCCTGTAGGCAAACAAAATCTAATTTTTCTTTGATCAATCTTTTAAGTATTTATTTTCTTTTAGCTGGGGAGTTTAGCCTATTTATATTTATAGATATTAGCCAAATTTCTTTATCAAGATTGGGAATAAACTTTTAACCTGCATTGACTAAAGAACAAAAGCTTAGGCATGCTAAATTTAGATAAACTTTTATATGGCTGTTTATTTATGAAAAATTACAATTATATTTTACATTTTAGAAACTTGAGGTAATATCTATGAATTATATTTTGAAATAATTTAATTTTTATAGGTGAAAAGTTATGTTTACAATTTCCCACTTATTTTACATACATCTTTTTGCAAGATGTTAGTATGACTGCAGATTTTAGACAAATGAAGCTATAACAAGTAATATGCAGTAATCCAGCTCATGAAAAAAGGAAGATAAAATCAAAAATGACAATACAAACCATAAAAAAAATAGGACAGGCTATAAGTAGTAGATTCTTTTCAGTAAAGTTTGTTCACCTTTCCATCCTCAGAATGGATACTGGGCAGATCATTTTTGTGAAGAGGAATTAGGATACATCTGTAAAAAAGAGCCTTCAGAATTTCTTCCTGGAATAGATGAAGTTGCTGATCCAAAGTGCCAAAAAGTAAGCCTCAATAATTGTGAAGCTGTTGATCTTTTATAATACTTATTCAGCCTCTTATGAAATTTTGGGAATATCATCCTAACGCTGGTGTTGACTCTCAGGAACCACATAGATAGAAAGATTTTTTTTCCTGCAATATTATAATAACACAAGTTATTTGTCTTTATCATATGACGAAAAAGAAAAGCTACTTGAGATAATGGATAAACAGAAGGAACACATTTTGATTTTTTTTTTTTTTTTTTGCTGAATAGAAATGTATTTGGATTGGGCGAAAACTGAAACTGAAAAATGTTGATTTGTACTTGCCATAATAATTGGACATCCAAATTGCAGCAATGTTCTTATAAAATTAAACAAATCTGAAGCTATTGACACAGAAGTTGAATGCTATAAATGTATGTCTATTCGCATTTATTTCATAGCACTTTTTAGATTTTGGGTTCAAAAGATACTATAGAATAGTAAGACTATCACTTTTCCCCACATAAAATATGAACTTAAATTAATTAAAAATTGCCTTTTCATCAGGATAACTTAATGAATCTGAGAGTCTATAGATTGGGATAGGATAAAAATGTGAGAAATAAATCAATAAATTCAGGCTAATATTGTTCTATATGTGTATATATGCTATGTCAACAGGGCTGGAAAAGGTATGGTTTCTATTGTTACTTAATTGGAAGGACACCTGCAACATTTTCAGAAGCAAAGACATCTTGTGAAACAAACCAAGGATTTCTGATCTCTGTGGAGAATAGGTAAAATATGGTGAAAGAGACAGAACAAAATATTATATTATGCATCTATATTAGCAAAGAAAACACTAAACAGATTTCCTATGTCTACCTCCTTTTAAAATTCATTTCCTTTAACATAAACTGTGCTGTGAGACCTGGTGATAGACATGAAAAGAACATTTTATCTGGGCATAAATAAAATATTTTCAGATATTTTATTCCTGTATTCTAAATTATTTATTATTTATTTATATATAAAAATTTATATAACTGCCTACTTGCAAAAGTACTGTATTATTTTATTTTGATGTTTGTTAATTATTCATTTTTCCTAATTATGCCTAGTTTTTCACTTTAATTTTACATGAGTTCATCTGAGATAGTATCTAAAGTTTGGTTTACTTGAATTTTATATGGGTTTATTGATTTATTAATTGCTATTGTTATTAATGAATATCTCAAAATAAATATTTTCCAGGATGCATTTTAATATTTAATTCAGCACTGTAGTGCTTCAATTTCCAAAAGTGCTTCATGATGTTTAGGAATAAAAATGTAGCACCTTTCTGCAACACCTGCTCCAAATTCTTTTATAGTGTTCAAGATATATTAATATATTATGAAGAAGTCTTTGGAGCAGTGTTCTCCAATTTGGGATGCATATACTTGATCTATTTTAGAAGAAAATATTAGGATGACTATTGTTTCTTAAAAATAAATAAATTAGCAACTAAAATTTAATATGCAGAATATAGAAAGTATAATATACATTTAGACAAAGTATAATATACATTTATGTTTTATAATGCATGTGATACACTAGTAACACAGTACACAAATATAATTTACAAATAAACATATATATTGAGGTACATATTTAATTTTTCAACTAATAAGGAAGTGTGAAAAATATGGAAACCACTGCTGTGAATAGTGTTTCCCAAACTCAGCGACCTTAAGATATGTGCACTTCAACTCTCAGAATTCTGCAAGCAGACAGGTAATTCTGGGAGTTGAAGTCACAACCTTAAAACTACCAAAATTGGGAAATACTGCTGAAGAGAATGTTACAATGCAATTGCAGTCTTGGTCAGACAACTAGATCAAGAGAGTCTTTTTTTACTTGTAGCAGAGATTGGGCAGGCTCTACCATTGGCCATGGTTGGGGATGGTTGCCTCAGGCAGCCTTTACTAAAAGGCTTTAGTAAGATGGAGACTTGTCCTTATTCTAAATCTTCAGAATACTGCACTGTAGTCTTTGCTGTAAGAAAGATTCAACTCCAGTCCTGCTAGCCTTAACGCATGTTATGGGAGCAGACTCCTTAGCTCTGATCAGGAATCTGTAAATCTAGTGTTGTACTTTCAGATCTGAGGTGATGATGATGATAATGCTGATTTTATCCTACCTTTTTAAAATATAAAAATGTACTGAATCCTCCTGCCTCCTATTTTCTCAATAATCCTTTGTACTGAATCCTCCTGCCTCCTATTTTCTCAATAATCCTTTGAAATGGATTGACTAGTAAAAGTGTAAATTGGGCCTAAGGTTAACCATCTGCAGAATCTGAAAATGGAGAAAATCAGAGACCATCTTGATTTGAATTATTTTTACCACAGATTTGAGCAGGCCTTCCTGACTAGCCAAATTGGACACCGTCCTGAAAAATATTTCTGGATTGGCCTTTCAGATGTAGAGAATCCAGGAACTTTCAACTGGACCAATGGAGATACAATTCAGTTCACTCACTGGAATGCAAAAATGCCTGGTATGGAGTCTGTCAGAGCAAATACATCCTAGTAGGAAAGCTTTTATCCTGTTTAGCTTGTCTATGGAGATGCATTAAACTGGCTCTGGTCTTCCATTCTGCCAGGCCCAAATCCTGGCTGCGTTGCCATGAGAACAGGAGAAGCTGCTGGACTGTGGGATGTTGTCAATTGTGAGGAGCGGGCTGCCTTCCTTTGCAAGCATTTGGCTGAAGGGGTGACGCCTCCTCCAATCCTGAGAACAACGCCCCCTCCCCCATGTCCTGAAGGATGGACTGCAAGTCCAACGAGGAATGTCTGCTTCAAGGTGGGTCAGCTTGTTTTGGAGTCAAAACATTGGCTTGGTCAACCAGCCCTTTGAGACAGGCCAGGTCAAGAGCCAGATACTGCAGCAGCCTCCCAGCTTCTCCTCCAGGGCGAATTTGGTGCCCTTCAGCCATGTTTAACCCTCCTCTGAAAAGGAAATAGAGTGATAGGAAGAACAAGGAAGGAATAATAGAGAACATGGAAACTGGTCATGTTCCTTTGCAGCCAGCACATCTTTGGCCATTTTATCTGTTAAGTTTGAGGCATGGGTTAATGAACGGAGACCAGACTGTAAACCTTGGAACTTGAGCTCTTTATTCTCAAGCATAACAGAGACAAAAAAAACCCGGCTAGCAGTCACTCTTTTATAGAGTAAGCTGCTATCCGGATAACCAATGGATAGTGTTGTAGCGTTTGAATCTTGGCGCGGCCCGCCAACAGCCAGACAAAATGGATTGTAGTTTAGTTGAATCCATCCAAATTTCTTCAGAAGGTACTTGACCGCCAAGTACTCTAATGCAGAAAACCAAACACACATTTCTCAACCTCAGCAACTTTAAGATATGTGGATTTTCAGCTCCAGAATTTCCCAGATGGCATTGAAGAATTCCTTGAGTATGAAGAATCAAAATAAATTAGAATTGCTTTTAAATAAATTATCAAGAAGTACTGTACTCCAGAATTTATTAAACTGATTCATAAATATTTTAGACATAAACATTTTTCAAGCAGAACAATATTGCTCTATGATGAAATTCCCTATAGCAAGAATCAAAAATAATTAGTATATGCCTCTCTTTCAAGAGAATCAGACTGTATGCCCTTTCTCACTAGGACTAGCTTGGTAAAGACAGACCTCTTCAGCACTCATTCCCAGAATTCAGAAATGAATAGGAAGGGAAATGATTGTCTGTGGAAAGTGATCATGACAGATTGTACTGGAGATAGGGAACTATTTTCTTTTGACAAAAATAAATTGCTAGCAAGGGAAGAGGAAATGGAGAACATTCTTTTGTAAGTTTTCATTCATATATTTGACATTGCGTAATGACACTTCACAAGCATTGGGATTCAGAGAATAAAACTGATCAAGCAAGTGGAAAATCTTTGAGAGACACAACCTGTACTTCCTCTTTCCAAATTCATCTGTGTAATCTAAGATACAGATAGTCCTCAACTCACTAGTTACAACAACACTGAAAAAGTGACTTATACTTACAACCATTGCAGCATCCCATGGTCATGTGGTTAAAATTCCAACACTTGGCGACTGGCATGTATTTATGATGGTTGAACTGGGGGTCATGTGATCAGCATTTTTAACTTTCCTAACCAGCTTCTGATAAGCAAAATCAACGGGAAAACCAGATTTGCTTAATAGTCAAATTATTCACTTAACAACCTTAATGATACATTTAACAACTGTGCCAAATGGGGCAAAACTTACTTAACTGTCTTGCTTAGCAACTGTAATTTTGGGCTCAGTTCAGGTTGTAAGTTGACCGGTATAGGCCTTATGTGCAATAATACAACTTTTAGTGAGCAGTCCTGCTGCATAACTTCAGCTTCAGAATTTTCATGAGCAGGAAGAAGAGATGGAAGGAAGTTCAAAGCAAGTAGTGGAGTCTTCCCTTCCCAACTATAGTTTCTGTTAAGTTTGAGGCATGGGTTTAATGAACGGAGACCAGACTGTAAACCGTGAACTTCAGCTCTTTATTCAACAAGCATAACTGAGACAAAAACCCCCGGCTAGCAGTCACTCTTTTATAGAGTAAACTGCTATCCAGATAACCAATGGATAGTGTTATAGCGTTTGAATCTTGGCGCGGCCCGCCAACAGCCAATCAGATTGCTTGGAATGAACCAATCATAACTTGCCACTATATGGGCCAATAGGAAGTGCAGGATTACAATCCTGCTATGCAAATGAATCTTTATTAATTACATTTCTTTAGTTCACAACACCCCTCCCCCCTGGGTTCCGTTTGACGGCCGTGGTGACATAATCACGCAGGTATGCAGGTCGTTTTACCTGCCTATTCGATTTTCGCTGTTCCACCGGTTTTTGTTTAAAGTTCGGTTCCGGTGGAACGCAAGGCTCGTCTTCACACGGGGTTGATTCTGCGGTGCTGTTTTCGATACTATCAGGGTCCCTTAAGTCCATTCCTGGATCGGGCGGGCATGTTTCCACTACGGTGTTTCTCTGTGGGGAGGATGCCCCCAATCCCGGACCCTCTTCAGGTGGCGCGAGTACTCGGTTTAGCGGCCGCCTGTCCTCGATTACGTTGTCGTCTATACGGCCCTCATCCCCCTCGGCACTCCCTCCCCCCTGAGTTTGGAAGTCCGGGGGGTCACGGATATTGGGCTGTAAATGAGATCGAAGTTGATCTATGTGGCGTTTCCATATCTTGCCATCTGTCGTCTTAAGGCGGTAAGATCTAGGGCCAGTGAGGTAGACTACGGTGACTGGGACCCACAACGGCTCGCCGGAAAGGTTTTTGGTGTAGACCAAGTCACCTACCTTGAATTGGCGATACGTTCCGCTGGATCCACAAGGTTTCTCTGGCGAATACGACGGGTGTAATCGGTCGAGGTGGGAGCGAAGCTTCCGCCCCATTAAAAGTTCGGCTGGAGTCTTGTTGGTGACACTGTGGGGGGTAATGTGCTGTAGTAAGAGTATTTTGTTCAATCTAGCGTCAATGTCCCCCGGATCCATTTTTTGTAGTGTCTTTTTAACGAATTGGACCATCCGTTCCGCCCTACCGTTTGCCGCAGGGTGAGCCGGCGAAGTTAAGGCATGGCGGATGCCCTGGTCCGCCAAGTATTGTTCGAAGGTGAGAGCAGTGAACTGGGGTCCGTTGTCAGAAACTAGAACGTCCAGAAACCCGTGTGTTGCAAATAATCTATCTAGTTTTTTAATAACGGAGTCAGTAGTTGTGCTTTTCATCTTGTGGATTTCGAGCCAGTTGGAGTAAGCATCCACGGTTAGGAGAAAAGTGTGTCCTTTAGTGGGTCCCGCGAAATCAATGTGGATGCGGGACCACGGGCCTCGAGGAGTTTCCCATTCGGTGGGAATTGCTCTCGGTGGGGCGTTGCTGACTTCTTGGCAGTTTCTACACGTGGTTACCCAGGCTTCAATTTGTTTATCGATGCCTGGCCACCACGCGTAGCTTCGAGCGAGAGCCTTCATGCGGACGATGCCCGGATGTCCTTCGTGCAGGGTTTGCAACACGAGTCACTGTAGTCTCTCTGGTACGACGACTCTATCTCCCCATAGGATGCAGCCCTTCTGGGAAAATAGTTCCGTTTGCCGGTGTTTGAACGGCGCAAAAGTGGCGGGGGTTTCTTCGACTGGCCACCCGCGTTCGACCCAACTGAGAACTCTTGCGAGGATAGAGTCCCGTTTTGTGTTGGCGGTGATATCCCTTGCCGTTAGTGGCAGTGAGTTGAGAGTTTCAATTTGCAGCGTAGTGAGGGTTGGAGCTGGGTCGCTGACGGTTTCCGGAAGTGGGGAATGGCTCAAAGCGTCAGCGTGGGGAATGGCTTTCCCTGGGCGATGCTGCAATACGTAGTTGTAGGCTGCTAGGAATTCTGACCAGCAAGTCATTCTAGGCGACAATATATGCGGCGTTGGTTTATCACCTGCTAAAATGCCAAGTAAAGGCTTGTGGTCTGTAACTAGAGTAAAGGGCCACCCATAAACATATTCGTGGAACCGCTTTACAGCCGATACAATAGCAAGAGCCTCTTTGTCAAGTTGGCTATAGTTTCGTTCAGCCTTTGATAATGTGCGGGAAAAGTACGCAATGGGAGCCTCATTCCCGTTTGGTAACACGTGGCTCAAAATGGCTCCAATCCCAAACGGTGATGCGTCGGACATAATATTTATTGGCAAAGTCTCATTGTACTGCATTAGAACAGCATCGGATGTTAATAAGTCTTTCACTTTTTGAAAAGAGCGTTCTTCTCGATGTCCCCAGACCCAGGTGGCTTTCTTGTCGAGAAGTCTATGTAGGGGCTCAGCTACGGTCGCCTTCTGGGACAAGAATATGTTGTAAAAGTTAATAAGTCCCAGGAAAGCCTGGAGATCAGTCTTATTTTTAGGTCTTGGGGTGTTCTTGATTGCCCTGAGTTTGTTTTCAGTAGGGTGAATACTGTGTTTATCGAGGAGGTATCTGAGAAACTCTACCCTTTCAGTGCACAGTTGACATTTATTTCTTTTAACCTTGAGACCGGCGTCCATAAATCTATGTAAAACCAATCTGAGATGTCTTTCAAGCTCTTCTCTATTTGGGGCAGCAATTAATACGTCATCGAAGTACGGTACAACCCCTTTTATTCCCTGTAAAAGTCTCTCCATTAGACTCTGAAATATCCCGGGGGCTACACTGACTCCGAACTGGAGTCTGTTGCATTTAAAGGCACCTCGGTGTGTAACGATAGTCTGTGCCTCTGCGGTTTCCGCATCAACAGGTAGTTGTTGATACGCTTGCGCTAAGTCTAACTTTGCGAAGATCTTCCCGCCGCCCAGGGAATGGAGGAGATGTTGAACCACCGGCACCGGATAAGCGCTCTGTTGGAGTGTGTGGTTCAGAGTGGCGCGGTAGTCTCCACAAATTCTGATTGACCCATCCGGTTTGATGGGGGTTACGATTGGGGTTTCCCAACGGGCATGGTCAATAGGCTCCAACACCCCTTGGGCTATTAATTTATCAAGTTGCTCGTCAATCTTGGGTTTAAGGGCGTACGGCACCCGACGAGGCTTAAGGCGGATAGGGGCTACTTCTGGATTGAGGCTAAATGATATAGGGGTCCCCTTGTACTTGCCTAATTTGTCCGAAAACACGTTGTGGAATTCCTGGATGATGCTCTCTTCCCAATCGTCGCTTCCGGCCTGGTGAATGCCGGCCACCTCGATCCCAAGTGGGGCGAACCATTGTAGGCCTAGTAAACTGGGCCGATCACCATCGACGACAGTTAATGGGAGTGACACGGCACGATTTTTAAAAGATACTTGGACTTGACTCACTCCGACGACTGGGATCGTGTTCCCTTGGTAATCCCTGAGGACGATTTTCTGTGTCCTGAGGTCTTGACGACGGATGGCAGGGATCAGCTGTTTAAGTGTCTTCCAGGAAATCATCGAGAGAGACGAACCAGAGTCGACTTCCATCAGGCAAGGTTGGTTTTCGATGGCCACTTCCACTCGGATCTTTTGTTTGTCTAATGACGAAGTGTGGCCGATAATAATAGTCTGGTGTGTCTCTTCTCGTCTTGCTGGAAGAGCAGATGTTTTGCTGCTGTAGGCATGGTTGTTCCATTGGTTATTCAAACGATCCCGATTTGCAGGGAGGTTCCCTGTGGTTTGGCGGAGGTTGTTCTCCTTTCTGTTTGTGTTGGATTCCCTCTTACTCCTGCAGACCCGTGCGATGTGGCCTCTTTTCCCACAGGAACGGCAGATTGCGTCGAGGAATTTGCAACCGGATCGCGGGTGGTTTCCCCCACAGCCCGCACATGGGCGCTGAAATTTTAGAGTTTGTTGATCTCGTTCGGCCCGAAGTCTGTTAACCTCTTCTTCATCACTCTCGGACTGGGACTCAAGGTCCTCATGGTGCGCTGTTGCTGAGTGTCTTTCTAGTTGAGGCGAGGCTTCACGGGCGAATTGACGGAGTGGTGCGTTGGTGCGGCGCATTCGAGCGGCCGACTTCTTGGTTGCCTCTGCTGCAGTAGCGTCTGCAATGGCATCTGCAAGATCGATGTCCCCTTTTGCCATGATCTTGCTCTGTACTGTGTGGTCATCTAATCCCAGAACTATGCGGTCTCGCATAGCTTCTTCTAGGTCTGAAAAACCACAGAGGCCTCCCAGGTTTCTAAGGTCAGCGATGAAGTCTGCAATACTTTCACCCTTCCGCTGATCCCATTGATAAAATTCGTGTCTCCGGACCAACGTTGGTACGGCAGGGACATAGTGAGCCCGTAGAATAGGTTCGAGGTTGTCCCAATCCATTGATTTCACCTCAGAGCCGGTTTCGCGAGTGCTTTCGCCATCCTAAACACGGCTGGTCCACAATGGGTCAAGAACACCGCCCGCTTCTTTCCGGGTGTGGCGTCTTTCAAATTGTTGGTTTCTAGAAACATTTGAAACCGATCCATATACGACTCCCAGTCTTCTTTTTCCGGGTCAAAAGGAGCGGGTGGTATAGCGCCACCTGACATCCTGTCGATGTAGATGTGCTCTTAGCCACGTGCTTCGGTTGGTGCTCTGTAGGATTTAGTCAGCTCTTTTGTCTCCGCATCCCATCCTCGTCGCCAGTGTTACGTTTGAGGCATGGGTTAATGAACGGAGACCAGACTGTAAAGCTTGAACTTCAGCTCTTTATTCTCAAGCATAACAGAGACAAAAAACCCCCGGCTAGCAGTCACTCTTTTATAGAGTAAGCTGCTATCCGGATAACCAATGGATAGTGTTGTAGCGTTTGAATCTTGGCGCGGCCCGCCAACAGCCAGTCAGATTGCTCGGAATGAACCAATCATAACTTGCCATTATATGGGCCAATAGGAAGTGCAGGATTACGATCCTGCTAGGCAAATGAATCTTTATTAATTACATTTCTTTAGTTCACAACATTATCCTGATGGGTTTGTTCTCCTATGTTGGCCATGCGTTTATGAAGTAGTTGTTTTGTTTCCCCAATATGCAGATCTGCAAATGGCTCAGTCCGCTGTACTGCTTTTCTCATATAGCTAAGTCTGTTTCTGAGTGTTTTATCCTTGGGGTGGATAAGCTTCTGCCAATTAGTGTATTTTAGGTTTGAAGTGTGCATGTATGTTGTGTTGGCTGAAGATTCTCCTGAGCTTTCCTGATATTCCTGCAATATATAGAATGACAACATTGCTTTGTTTATTGTTTTTTCTTTGTCTACTATGGAGGAGCAACTGTTGGGTCTTTTTTGGGATTTGATGACTAGCCCACTTGGGATAGTCACACGTTTTGAGCGCTTCCTTGATGTGTTTTAGTTCTTTTTCTTTCCCATCTTTGCTGGTAGGCAGGCCGTCAGTTCAGTGGTGTAGGGCTCTGATAAGTCCCATTTTGTGTTCCATGGGTGGTGAGAATCAAAATGTAAACATTGATCTCTGTGTGGCGGTTTTCGATAAACTTCAGTGTTAAGGCTTATGTTAATATGTAAAAGTGAAAATATCAAATATAAGAGTTAAAGGGTTATTTGAAAAGATAAATAATAAGAGCCATTAGGGGAAACAAACAACTACATGTAGTTCTTGTCTTACAACAATTCACTTAATGAAAAACATGACTTATGACTATTTTCCCTCCTCCAAACTTTGCAGCATCTCCATGATGATATGATCAAAATTCAGACATTTGACAATTGACATATTTATATGCTTGCAGTATCCTGGGGTCATCTGATCACCTTTTGCAATCTTCTGACAAGCAAAGTCAATGGGGAAGCTAGATTCACTAAACAATCATGTTTCTAACTTAACAACTGCGGTGATTCACTTAACAACTTTGGGAAAAAAGGTCATAAAATGAGGCAAAACTCACTTAACATGTCTGATTTAGCAACAGAAATTTTGAATTAAATTGTGGTCATAAGTCGAAACTATATAGTGTTAATGCTTATTTGTAATGAGATATATTTCTATACATTTAGGCCTATATAGAGAAAAAAATTGAAAGGAAAACTTGGTATGAGGCATATGACTTTTGTAAAAAAATTGGAGGAGACCTGGCTTCTTTTCATACTAAACTAGAGGAAAGATTATTAAACAAACTGTGAGTATAATAAACTGCTTATATCTTAAGGCAGAAACACTCCTGGCAAAAGTATATTGGAGCGCTGAATTCATCATAATGGAATATATAACTAATATAAATTTCATAAAGCTACATATTTTCATTCCAAGGTATTTTGCATGTAGTTAAGATTTCTCTCAGAGCACTCTAGTGAGAGCTCCAGCTCAGTGAGGAAGAAAAAGATCATGATTTTGCTGATCATCATCATGGTTAAAAAAAATAGAAAAGAAACTCCAGTGGGTATAACAAAAATAAGAAAGAATGGTCACAAATGTCATAACCATCATCATCCCAATAAAGTAATAAGGCTTCTGGTATTATCCTTTACATAACTACTTAAATAAATTCCATTGTAATCCTAAGAATGTATTCCCTCTTAAGTAGGTATCTATCATATTAGAGCTGTAGGAGCATATGTCGTATTTAAGAGCCTACTTATTTCTGGGGGTTATTCCTTGCTGACATGCTCTATGTGAAAAAGAAAACACAGACAGAAAATTGCAGTGTTGTATTTCAACAAGACATATGCATAAAATATATTTTAATGTATTTGCTGATTGTTACATTTTAGATCAAAATCAAATTATGTCTGGATTGGTTTGCGAATTTCAGACTCTAGCACAGGATACACTTGGACTGATGGGTCTCCTGTAAGTAAATGATTAACATGCATGCTTTATACTGCAATTGTTATCTGAAATTTCTGGCATTCTTAATATTTATGGAGTACTGCAGGGATGCTCAGCACCCCCCAGGCCGTGGCCTGCTACTGGCACCTTCCCCACTTCTATTTAGCATCTATCTGCAATTGGTGGAGGATGTGATCCATCGACACAGGGTTAAATATCACGAGTAAGTTACACACAATTTTACATCCCAGCCTTTGATTGAATAGCACATTTTCCAGAAGTCTGGAGGTTATAATGTTCTGGCAGAGGATGAACATCCAATTTATTTATTAAATTTATATGCCACTCATCTTAATGATCAACTACTCTGAGTGACTTACAAAATGGTAAAAAGATTAATATAAAATTTTTAACTGAGAAGACTTAAATAAGATGTTAGGGATCTTAATCCCAGCTCAATGGAGCAGTTTGGAGTTAAGCCAATTGAGTGCAGAGCTTACTGTCTAGTTATAGATGGAATCATACTCCCTTGTTTCATACTGTTGTCCTTCTTGGCTCATGGATATTGATTGAGATACATGAGGCAATTATAACAAGGAGGGACTTTTGCACAACTCCGCCTAGTATGTCATTTACAGCTTTCTTAGAATGGGAGACATTATACAGTATTCACAGTCACACACATCCTGCTCTCTCATTTGGATTACTGAAGTGTGCTGTACTTGTTAAAGACCACACAGAGGACTTGATCCAAAATGCAGCATCTTGGGCAGTAATGAATGTGTCATTTGTTCTATTTTCCAAATGTTAAAACTGATGGCTTTTAGACAGTAAATATGTAAGTATATTTTAATTTTTACTATAGGTAAACTATGAACCAGTTTTTACTTTGTTTTCCGATGAAAGTAAAAAATGTAGAGCGATATGGGGACATATTGGATCCTGGAAAGCCGCACTATGTGATCGGGTTTTTGATTGGTTTTGTCAAATTACAAGAGGTAATATGCTTTTTATTCTCAAGTAATTTATTCAGAATAACAGGGTTGGAAGAGATCTTAGAGGTTGCCTGTTCAAACTCCCTTCTGTATTGCCCAACTCTCACAGCCATACTTTATAACTGGGAAACCATAGCACTGACTTTATGGACTTTTGTCTCTGTTTTTTAATTTGCTCTCTAGGTTTGCTATAGCTTTTCTCCCAAAGAACAAACATATTTTAATTTCATGACTACAGACACTGTCTGCAATTCTCTTGAAGCCCCACAAAATTAATCTGTCACTTCTTCCATAGCTTCTCCTATATTTGCCAAAAAGTAATGGGACTGGATGCCATAATCTTAGATTTTTTAATTTTTAATTTCAATTCAAATTTTCCTTCTCCTCTTTCATCCCCCATCAAGAGGGTCTTTAATTCCTCTTCATTTTTTTGCCATTAGAGTGGTATTGTCTGCATACCTGAAGTTGTTAATATTTCTCTCAGCAATCTTAATTTTGGCTTCTGATTCATTCACCCTGCCATTTTGCATGATATACTCTGCATTCAAGTTAAATAATCAGGGTGACAATATACAGTCTTGTCATCTTCCTTTTCCTGTTTTAAATCAATCAGTTATTCTTTGTCTGATTCTAATTGCTGCTTGACTTGGTACAGGTTTCTCTTTTCTTTCCAATTTTTTTTTATTTCAATCTGCATATGCACAACAATACATTAATAGTGTGGCATCAATATATCATACATTTTAGTATAGGCAAAATTAATAATATCAATCATATCTCTCAATGCTTATATTTCACATTAATTCATAATCCTTCAATGCTTATTTTCAACCTTTCAAAACTCTCTCCAAATGCCTACCACCATATCAGTTAAACATACCTAGTAATTCCATTATTCAATTTTCTCCCTGATTTTATTTTATTTTTTAAAATAAAAAATTCTCATTTGGCAAGCAGTGTGTTTCCAGGTTTCACATCTCAATACAAACATGACCATAGTTACCTGTTCATTATATTTGTTTAGTTTCATATTGCATCATCCTTATTATTGTTAAATATTAAGCTTATCTTATCCAATTCCAATTCATGTTATATTAATACATTCTCATATCTTATTTTACAATGTTATCTAAAATTCTCATCTCATTTCTGTTGTCATATCTCATATTATTTTTTTCTGTCACATTTGTCATTTTATCAATCCTTATCTGTAAATATAATTGTCCCCTCTGGTTAATAATTCAAGTTAACCACCTTCATTCTACCTTAATATCAATCTCTCTACCTAGTATATAACACAAATATATATAAATTTTTCTCAGATTCCGCATTATATTTTCTCAAACACCTTATGAATCATCTATACATTACAAAATACTATTTTCAATATATTCTTATACATCACAACATATTACCTTGCGGAATCTCCTTCCTTATCCTTTTTTTTCCACCCATTATCTCTCACTCTTTGGACAATGTACTTTCTTTTCATCCTTGTTTGTTTCCTATTCCTCTTTGTTTTCTGGTCCTTTCTCTTAATTCCCTTTTTTCCCATTCTTATTCCTCTCCATTTCTCATTCCAGTTATTAAACTTTTCTCTCTCCCTCTTTTGATTTTTCTTACTTTTAACTTTCTTTATTGAACATAATACTTTTATTAAGTTCGCTAAATTCAATCATTAGCTATTATTATTTTTCTTTTCAATACACATTTCAGCATTTAATTATGCCCTTTAAGTGCCCATAATTCAATAGTTATCCAGTTTAATTTCTAAACCTTTGTTGTATTAAAGTATTTTCTTTAAAATTTTCTCCTCCAAATTAATCCAATCCAAGTTTTATAAGATCCAATTTCTTTCTCACTTTCTCTGGTTGCCGCTTCCACACATTTCCCTCCAAGATAGCCCTTTATTTTAATACCGGGGTACCTCAAAAGCAATGTCCTTTGCCTGGTTCACACTCTGCTCACTACTTCTCTGCTCCAGCACAAAACTTAGTTTCCCAGAGTGTTCTTTGTGTTCATGGTAGCCATTTTAGGACCACTGCTGCAGCTTGCCTTTGGGAGGGATTTTCCTATCAGGGAGGGGAGTTGGACTCCCCTCAACCCTCCAAGCAATTTCCCCCTTCTTCACCACCCCACCAGGGTGGGTCTGGTCACGATCGGGACCCTCCAGCAAGTGAGCTTGGGTGAAAATGTGCACAATTGCGGATTCCGCTCCGACGAGGAACCAGGGGTACAGGTTTCTCAAGAGACAGATTAGGTGATCTGCTTTCATCTCTTGCCACAATTTGTTGTGATCTACACAGTTAAAGGCTTTACATAGTCAATGAAGCAAAAACCAATGTTTTTCTGAAACTCCCTTGCTTTCTCCATAATCCCACAAATGTTGGCAATTTGATCTCCAGTTCCTCTACCTCTTCAAAATCCAGATTGTACTTCTGGTAATTCTCAATTCACATATTGCTGAAATCTAGCTTGTAGGATTTTGATCATGACTTGTTAGCATGTGAAATGAGTGCGATTGAATGGTATTTATACAGATCTTCATGGTTCTTTCAAAAGTGGGTCATCTGGATTTTAGATAAACTGGGATCCAGATATCTATGATTGTTTGTAATGTAGAAATACATTAATTGGTACATTTTACTTTTGGAGAATTGCCTTCTGCAATATGGAATAATGTAATATGATATGATTCTGCTTCAATTTTTTTGTAATAAAAATATTTGTTTTTGTAGGGTCAGCTTTAAATCCAGAACCAAGCAACAGATTTGGTACGTTGGACAATTTAATGCCAAAAATATTATAACATATGTGTATGTACATGCCTGTACATTTTATTTCGTTTGATTTGAATCTGGCTGCTTTGAGCAAAATCTGGTTATATGATGTAAAGAAGCATTCCTAAAATGATTTATGATGGTTAAATTTGTAAGCAAACCAATTTCTAAGAGCACAGAAGAAAGACAGATATTGGCTCTGAATGGCTTTAAAACTACAGACATTGTGATTCCCTTTAAATGAAAAGTAGATGCCATTGACTGACCTCTTCACAGGCAATAATTGAGTAGGGGCTTCCCAAGCATATGTAGAAATATGGCTATAACCAAAGGGGAATGACTAAAAAGTAGGGCATTTTTATATCTATAAAAATTATTGGAAATTTTTATAAAACTTTCTCAAATATACTAAGCTTTGATTGCATTTGATAATGATTTGATTGAATCAAGTGATCTGAGCAATTGCATAAGACAACAACCCACTTCTTTCTCCAGATAGTTCTGAAAGTAAATTAAAATGGCCTCCTGGTTGTTTTACATTGCTTTGTCTTACAGTCTCAATTGTTTTACATTGCTTTGTCTTGCAGTCTCAACTTCTTGGGTTGGCTTCTGTGTTTTTGGGAACATTTGCATAGAAGCCTCTTCCAACTATTGGAAGCACTCAGTTTGAAGTTAGTTTGCTAGCTGTAATATGGATGTGTTTTTTGGGTATGCAGGTTCATATTCAGAGACCTTGGAGGGAGAACTTTGACCAAAGTACAACATAGAAACTTCAAGTGACTGCTTCAAGTTACTGTTTGCTTTATGGTATTGTGGAATAGATGCAAAAGGACTGCTCAGATATATATATTTCTTCTATTTCTTCTTTTGTAGATTATATTTATAAAAAAATTGAGGATGGCTGGATTGAATTTGAAAACAATGAGTATTATTTCAGTAATACAACAATGCCTGCAGAAAAAGCCCGGAGATTCTGCAAACAACATCATGGTGATCTTACTACCATTGAGAGTCAAAAGGAAAAACTATTTTTGTGGAAATATGTAAGAAATATATGCAATAATTACCTACGAAAAATAAGTGGCTTCAAAACATTTATGTGTATGGATGTATATCTGTGTTTATGTATAATGTGTGTGCATGCGCGCGCGCGTGCGTTTGCGTGTGAGGGTTCCAAGTAATATATTCATAGCAAACAGAACTCCAGGTGGGTAGGTTCCTCAAATAATAGTTTTATTGGATATATCATATTGGCACAGGCTGGCGAAAACTGACTCTAAATGTTCCCATGGTTTTCACCTAATTAAAAGTAAAAGTTCTTTCCCCAATCAGTCACATGGTCCAATCAGAGTGCAATCCGGTTGCTTGGTAACAGCACTCCTCCTTTCTTCAGCCACTTGTGGGAATGTCCTTGGCTCACATGGGAAACTATTTTGTTTTGGCTACAAAACCCCAGCTATCACTATTCTCCCTCCCTATGCCTCATCTCCATTGTGGCAACACTGGAGCTTCAAAATGACCTCAGCCAGACCAGCTTCAAAGTTGACGGTGTGTGTATGATATGACATCCAGAACTTTTCAGAAACTGAAGAATTTCTTTTAAACTTTTGTATAAAGTGTGTATTATGGTGGCCATTAAATTAACAAAACTGGATGTTTAGTGCAGTCAACTTAGTTGAAAACCAATTATTTCAAGAATATGATAGGTTAAATGTTACCTTTTTATTCAAATGAATTTTCAAGTACTACATTATTAAAAAGCAGAACATATTTCAAAATTATGTCATTTATTTTGGGTTTAGTTGCTTCTATTCAACATGATTTGCAAATAATATTTTAAATTATACATAGTGTTTGACAAACGTACCAGTACTAGGAAAGATTCTATCATATTTTGGATTATTGGTTCTGCTGCTCTAAACCAGGGGTGTCAAACTTGTGGCATCATGTGACGTATAGTGACTTTTCCCCTTTGTTAAACTGGGGTAGGTATGGCCAGCACATGACACATCTGCGGGCTGCGAATTTGACACCCCTGCTCTAAACAATAGATGAATTAGATTCATAGATATGCTATGTTATTATTTTATATTAAAGCAGAAAATAACTATTTTATTACCTTTTCTTCTTTTACATTTTAGGCTATCAACTATGGAATTTATTACGATTCCTATATTGGTTTAATTTTGGGTCTTGACAAAAAGTTTGGGTAGGTGAACAAAATATATAAATGATGATGATGATGATGATGATGTCCATTCAATAATGTCCATCTGGCAATTCTATGGGCTGGGTCTCTCCATGTCTTCCAATCTTACACTACTTTCAGTTGTTCTGTACTCTGGCTGGTGTCAGTTTTGATGGTGTCCAGCTGCTGTTTTCTTTGGCAGGCTGGTTTCCTTTAACCATTAACTCTTCCAAACACTCTTGGTTCCTCTAGTGAATTTCCCTGCATGAAATGACCAAAATAAGTGAGATGAAGTTTGTGATTTTGCATTCTGGAGATGTCTGGTGTTATGTACTTGAGTACTTGCTTTGGAATATGGTGAATTGTGCCTTTTTCAGCACAAGGGATCATAGCCAATTTTCTTCCTGTCTTGCTTTTTTAAGGTCCAACTTTCACAAACATAGGTAGCTATGGAGAACATAATAAAATGGACTAACCTACATTTGATTGCCAGGCTGATTGCTTTTGCATATTTGACTCATGTTCATCATTGCTGTGTGACCCAGTTCAAACCAACATTTTATTTCTTGGCCTCATCCATTGCTTTGAGTGATCTGTGACCCTAGGAAAGTTGTTAGATCTGAGGTGGATCGGTTTGAAGGAGACGCGAGACCATTCTAGTGAGTTCAGCTCTTTATTTAGAATAGGAACAGTCTGAAGAATACAAGCTGCGGCAGCCCTTCATATAGGGCTGGCTCGCGGCTCGGCAGCCAATGGCAGCGCTTTGAATCTCCCGTGATCGGCACAGCCAATCGTGGTAGATTCTTAGTGCTCCAATCACGACCGGGGCTTCGACCAATCAGGTCGCTGTCCGTCTGGACCAATCAGGTTGCGAGGGTTTGGAGTATGCTAATACAGCACACCCCTCCCCTCTTGGTTTCGTCTGTCGGTGCGTCGTGACGTAGTCGCGCAGGTAGGCGGGGCTTCGTACCTGTCTAGTTGACCTGCGCGGCTCAGTTCTTGTTTGGTTGTCGACCAGTTCGGATGCCTTCTCTGTCGCTCCGGTTCCCAGGGATGGAACCGCCTGGAAGGTCGGGCTGGGCCTTTCTTGGTAGCTCCCTCCCAGTCTACCCGGGCTGGTTGAGCTGCCGTTTCTGTTGTTCCCGCCGGATTTTTCCGGGCTGGTTGAACTGGCCTGGCTGCTCCTTCCCGGTGACGATTCCGGGGTTGCCTGTTCTGTTGGTTCTGCGTTTACTGGTGAGTAGGACCGGTTTATTTGCGGGTTATTTGTTCTGGGTGGGGGTTGTTCAACTTGCGGTAGGGGGGTCCCTCTTTCTTTAACGCTTGCCGTTTCCCCCCCCCTTCTAGTTTCTTGCTCGGGTGTATGGTTGTTGGCTATTCTGGACCTCAGTTGGTTAATGTGCCGTTTCCAGTTTTTCCCGTCGCTTGTTTCTAGTCGGTATGATACGGGGCCGGTTTTTTGGGTGATCATTGCTGGTATCCAGAGTGGTTCCTCTGACAGGTTTTTTGCGTATACGGCATCACCTATGTTGAATTTTCTATGCTTGCTGGAGGAACCCGGGGGTTTGTCAGGGGTGTATGTGGGGTGCATTCTATCTAGTGTTGATCGTAGTTTTCTGCCCATCATTAGTTCTGCCGGGCTTCTATTTGTGGTTGCGCTAGGTGTAATATGTTGGATGAGGAGCATTTTATTGATTTTATCTTGTATGTTGGTTGTTTCTATTTTCTGTATGGCTTTTTTTGTGTATTGGACCATGCGTTCCGCCCGTCCGTTCGCCGCCGGATTTGCCGGCGCGGTTAATGCATGGCGTATGCCCTGGCCTGCCAGAAATTGTTCAAACGCTAGCGCGGTGAACTGGGGCCCATTGTCCGACACTATTATATCTGGCAGGCCGTGTGTGGCAAAGAGTTTGCCCAGTTTCCTTATTACCGCCTCCGTTGTGGTTGATTTCATGGTGCTTACCTCCAGCCAGTTGGAGTAAGCATCTACTGTGATGAGGTACATGTGCTCCTTGGTTGGTCCCGCGAAATCTATGTGAATCCAAGACCACGGTCCTCTTGGTGTTTTCCACTCATGTATTGGGGCGGCGGGAGGACTGGGTCTGGATTCTTGGCATTGTTTGCCTTTGGCTACCCAGGTTTCGATCTGTTTGTCCATGCCTGGCCACCATGCATAGCTTCTGGCCAGGCTTTTCATCTTAACCATCCCTGGGTGCCCCTCATGCAGCATCCCCAATACCCTTTCTTGCAATGTTTCCGGAATTACCACTCTGTCCCCCCAAAGTATACAGCCCTTCTCGGTAAAGAGTTCAGTTTGTCTGTTTCTGAAGGGTCTGAATAGTTCGTCCCTGTCCCCTTCCGGCCATCCTTTTCCAACCAAGCTTAGGACTCGCGCCAGCCACTTGTCTTTATTTGTTTCTCTGGCAATGTCTGGCGCGGTCACTAGTGGGTTGGGTATTGTCTCTATTTGAAGTACCTTTGTCGTGGGTGCCGGGTCGTCTTCTAGGTTGGGCAAGGGTGAGCGGCTCAGGGTGTCTGCGTGGGCGATGTCCTTTCCGGGTCGGTGAACCAGCTGGTAATTGTATGCTGACAGGAATTCAGACCACCTTGTCATTCTTGGTGATAGAATGTTCGGTGTGGCCTTATTTCCTGCCAGGATCCCTAGCAGCGGCTTGTGGTCCGTGATGATTGTAAAAGTCCTACCATAAAGGTATTCGTAGAATTTCTTGACGCCTGCGACGACTGCTAGGGCCTCTTTGTCGAGCTGGCTGTAGTTTCTTTCTGGTTTTGAAAGTGTCCTTGATGAGAAAGCGATGGGTGCTTCCTTCCCGTCCGGTAGCTGGTGGCTGAGAATGGCGCCGATCCCAAAGGGCGATGCGTCGCATGTTACGTTAATGGCAGGGTCTCGCTGTACTGGATTAGTACCGCGTCAGATGTTAGCAGGTTCTTTGTGTTGTTGAAGGCGCTCTCCTCCCGTGCTCCCCAGGTCCAGGTGGCTGTTTTATCTAACAGCCTATGCAACGGTTCCGCCACGGTCGCCTTTTGAGGTAGGAAGACATTGTAAAAGTTTAATAGTCCCAAGAAAGCCTGCAGTTCCATTTTGTTTTTGGGTCGTGGCACTTCCCTTATGGCTCTCAGTTTCTTTTCTGTGGGGTGGATCCCTTGTTTGTCTAGGAGGTACCCTAGGAACGACCCTCTCAGCCCGTAGCTGGCACTTCCCTTTGTTGACTTTGAGTCCCGAGTCTCTGAATTTCTTCAGTACCTCCCTCAACCGGGCTTCTAGTTGCTTTTCATTTTTCGCGGCCACCAAGACGTCGTCAAAGTAGGGCACCACCACCTCTATGCCCTGGAGGAGTCTTTCCATGAGGCTTTGGAAGACCCCGGGTGCCACGCTGACTCCGAACTGGAGCCGGTTGCAACGGAAAGCCCTCCGGTGCGTTACGATGGTCTGGGCTTCGGCAGTTGCGGCGTCGACCGGCAGTTGCTGGTAGGCTTGTGCCAGGTCGAGTTTTGCAAAGATCCGGCCTCCCCCCAGCGAGTGCAGAAGGTGCTGCACTACTGGGACGGGGTATGCGCTTTGCTGGAGCGCGTGGTTTAGGGTGGCCTTATAGTCCCCACAAATTCTCACGGACCCATCTGGCTTGATGGGGGTGACTATGGGAGTCTCCCACCTGGCGTGATCGATTGGCTTCAGTACCCCTTGCATGATGAGCTTATCTAGCTGCTCATCGATCTTGGACTTGAGTGCAAATGGCACTCGTCTGGGTTTGAGGCGGATTGGTGCGATGCTCGGGTCTATGTTAAAAGAGATAGGGGACCCCCAGTACTTGCCTAGGCTGTCGTCGAAAACTTCCCGGAAGTCCTCCACGAGCGCCGCTTCCCAGTCCGACTCTCTGTGGTGCGGTGGATTCTGGTTACTTCAATGCCTAGGGGTGCGAACCACTGTAATCCCAACAGGCTCGGCCGATCCCGGTCGATGATGGTCAGGGATAGCACTTCAGTGTGGTTCTTGAAGGTGACTTTAAAATGGCCTCTGCCAACTAAAGGGATGAGGTTTCCCTGGTAGTCTTTGAGGGTTAGTGTTTGGTCTTCTAATTCCTTGCAGCGGATGGAGGGAACCAGGCGCTTGATGGTGTGCCATGAGACCATGGAGAGGAAGGACCCGGAGTCCACCTCCATGTCGCATGGCTGGTTTTCTATCCCCACCGTCACGTATACCTTTCTGGCATCGCTTGTGGAGGAATGGCCGACGACGATGGTCTGGTGTGTTTCCTCCCTTTGTCTTGCCTCATTGAACTGCCTGTTCTGACCCTCTTGGCTCCAGCGGCTCTCCGTCTGGCGGTCTCGGTATCTGGTGGGGGTGTTCTCTTGCCTCCGTGGGCTGCCATCTCATCGCCGCGGGCTGTAGTGTTTTTTATTTCTGCACACCTTGGCGATGTGCCCCCGCTTCTCGCACTGTCGGCAAACGGCATCGAGGAACCGGCAGTCCGAACGGGGGTGATCGCCTCCACAGCCGGTGCACTGGAACCTTGACTTACGACCTCGGGGTTCCCGTCGCCCTCGTGCTGCTTGCAGGCGGTGGATTTCTTCCTCCTCCTCCTCGGTTTCTGAGAAGGAGTCAATGTCACCGTGGTGCGTGGTTGTGTCCCGGTGGTCGATCTCGGGTCGCCTTTCGGGGTTCGGTGTCGTCTCGCCGGTCACTGCTCGTGGTGCGATGCTCGATTGCCGCATCCGAGCCGCTGATTTCCTGGCCGCTTCAGCCACGGCTACCTCTGTGAGCGCATCGGCGAGGGAGATGTCGCCCTTTGCCATGATGTGGCTCTGGAGAATGGGGTCTCAGAGTCCCAGGACGACGCGGTCTCGCAGGGCCTCGTCCAGGTCGGCGAACTCGCACAGTAGACTCGCTATGAAATCGCCAAGCCCCTTGACCTCGCGCTGGTCCCACCTGTAGAAATCGTGCCGCCGGATGAGGATGGGCACGACGGGGACGTAGTGGCTTCGTAGCAGGGGTTCGAGGTCGC